CTCCTCTCTGGATTTTGGGCATGCACACACATGTGCCCAGTGTGAGTTTCAAGCCACTGGGTTGGGGACTCAAACCGCAGTCAGTCATGTGGAAGGCCAGCACTTTAACCACCACATTACCTGCTGGTCTGGTCCCCTTTCTTTCCTTTTAAGAGAAAACCCCCAATAAGCTCTGGAAGCCAGGGTCTGCCCAGCCTTCAACCAACCCTGCTCACGGGAACACATATGCCTGACCCCTGGAGGGAGATCTCAGACACAAGTCGGGAATCTCCCAGGCTTAGTCCTGCAGAGCGGCGTCTGTCACCACGGGGCCTGGGTCTCCTTGGCCAAACACCCATGCTTCATTGAACGGGCCCTGTGTGTGGCTCTTCCACAGGGGCCTCGTTTAATTTGCAGGAGGAAAGGCCTGCCCTGCAGTTCTGCAAGCCCCTCCTCCCCACCCCACCCTTCCCCACCCGCGCTGCTTTCCCCACTTCCACCCCACCCTTCCCCGCCCTGCTCCGACACACGTGTCCACATGGCGTTCAGCGTCCTGAGTGGCAGAGGCAGCAGGTTCCCCAACTGCTGCTCTGGATACAAGAACCAGAAACATTCTCAGCATCCCTGCTTTGGCCACCATGCCACCCCGGACTCAGGGAACACCATCGCGTACAGCGCTGGCCACTGACCAGCCCTGGAGGGCAGGACTGGCCACGTAAGCTGCAGAGCCCAGTGCAACATGAAAACACAGGGTTGCTTGTTGGAAACCTATGAGGAATCTCAAGACCGCACAGCAGAAGGTTAAACCGAACAGGCCCGGTGCTGAAGGCAGCCCTGTAGGACAGGGGGTGGAGTGTGGCCCTCGGAGAGCCCTCCCATTGGCTGGTGGGTGACCTGTGAGGATAAGGTTCTCAGCCAGGCCAGTCAGAGGGTTTTCCTCTGGAATTCAATGGGAGAGACAGACAGCCCACTGGAAGAGAAGGGAAACCAAAGTCATAAAAAATTTCCTAAACGGTTGACAGTTTTCCCCACACTGCAGGGAGAATGACCTTTTAAAAGTTGAATCAGAAGCGCTCTTCCCCTGACTCGAACCCACCCGTCCACCCTCCCTGCAACGCTCGCCCCGTCTCACGCTCACGCCACGCCAGGCACACTGTGCCTTTTTGTTCCCTGAACAGACCCAGCTTGTTCAAGGTACATGAGTCACACAAGCTGTTCCCAAGGCCCCAAGCAGCCGCCTCCTCAGTCCAAACGGTCAGAGCTTGACTGTCACCTGCGCAGAGAGGTCTTTCCCCTGCACCTGGCTGCAGAGGGGTCCTTTGTTCGTCTCTGTTGGAGCCTGCCGAGTCCCTTCATGGTGCTCCTGGCTGTTTGTAGTCACTGGGTTTTACTGTTTGGCGTTTGTGTTCACCGTCTGCCTTCTGTGGTAGCCTGGCAGCTCTGTGACAGAGGGGACCTGGTTTACTTAGTTCAGCTCTGTGTGCCCAGTCCCTGGCAAGTTGTGGGAATGCTAACATTTGGGGAAGGCGTGACTGTCTGGAGTATTGTGTGCGTTCTCAGTGGTCACTCCTGTTTTGCGGTTCTTGATTTTGTGTACTTAATTTGTATCTGGCCACATTACTGAATTCTCTCAGTTGTTCCAGATGCTTTTGTGTTGATCCATTTGGTGATTCTGGGTCTATAGTTAATAGCTAGGCAAATATTAGTTCTACCAGCAACTTTCCTGAAGTTAAACAACTTATTTCTGTTTCCTGCCTTATCACGTTGGCAACTTAGAGCTAGTTCTTTAAAGATGGTGAACCTGAGGATCAGCAGAGGGTGTAATGGTATGTAACTGGACTCCCTCGTAGTCGGCTATGGTTCAAGCACCCAACCCCGTGGCCTGTAACTCATGCCAAGCATGTGTGCCTATGTGCCCAAAATCCCAAGAGGAGAACAGAAGAGGGAGAAGGCAGTGTGGCCATCCCCCCAGGGGGTGATTTCTCATTTTCTGTCTCCTCTCTGGTCCTGTCTCTCCAGTGAGTACATGCGCCCTATGGCAAAAATATCTCTAGAAAAAAAAAAAGATGGTGAGACTCAAGTGTGCTCTGGAAGGTTTGGGGAACAGAAAGACTAGGGACAGGGTGAATAGCCAGGAAGCCTCAGCTGCTGTTAAAGTATGGGGCAGGATGAGAGCAGAGGACATGGGGAGGGAAAAAAGTAGCCGAGAAGTACTTACAGGACTGGTAGACTTGGTCAATAAGAATACGCAGTGGGCCAGCCAGTGGCATGGTGATGAAGGCAGCTGGATCCCACATGGCCGACTGCAGCTTGAAAAACACGCTGGGCACGTGTGCGTGCACGCCCAAAACCCTGAGAGGAGGACGGAGAGGTGTCGAAGCATGGCCATTCCCCATGGGGGTGCTTTCGCTCTCCTCCTCCCCCTTCCCTTTCCCTCTCGCTCTCCAGTGAATACACAATGCCCTATAGCAAACTAAAAATGGAAAGAAGAATAGGCAACAAAATATCCCACCGCTGTGATCTGAATCGGTGCACTGGCTCCCAGAAAACTTGATCCCACAAACTAAGAAAACACCCATACTCAAGGAAGAAATTAAAGGGGATTAATATAGCCAACTGTTTCTTTTATAAAGGAACTACCGAATGTTGTCCTGATCACTTTTTGAGGACCTTAACACTGGGAAGGACACAACCTGAAAACAAACAGCTTTGTGGGGAAAGAAGAGGAGAAGAAAGAAGTTCGTTACCAGCCCATTGTAGAAACACTTCAAAAACATGTTTCCCAGGGAACCAACAGTTAGCGTAATGGCTATGTCGCTGGACTCCCACGTAGTCGACCGCAGTTCATTTCCCGGACCCAGTGGCTTCAAACTCACGCCGGGTGCGTGTGCGTGCATGCCCAAGATCCCGAGAGGAGAATGGAGGAGAAGGGATTGCAGTGTGGCCATCCTCCCTGGGGGGTGATTTCTCACTTTCTGTCTCTATGTCTCTCTCTGTCTTTCTGGCGAGCACACACCCCCTATAGCGAAAAACCTCTCCAAAAAAAAAAAAAAGTTTCCCAGAGGCTGCATGCATGGTCACATCACAATCCCCTTTCTTCCACTTCTCTCTCCTTTCAGGATTCTGGGCACATGCGTATGCGCACCCAGTGTGTCTGTAAATCCAGTATCCGATCTGTGCCGTCGGCCATGTAAGATCCAGCTTCTTAACCACCAGGCCATGAATTGTGAATGTAAATTCAAGGAAAAGGAGATGTTTTTATGTTCTTAATTGGCTACATTCAAAATAACTTACAATAACGGACACTTTTTCCAGGTCGTCTTCACATGTGGTCTTACTCCTCCTCATGGCATCGTGCGGGGGTACTAATATGAGCCAGGCCAACGGGGCACGGTGGTGGTGCTGCCCTCCACAGAGCTGGGCCCATGTGGCGAGGTCTCGGATTCTGACCCAGGGCCTCCCTGTGCATGCTGGGTACACACACATCTGTGCTTGAGCTGGCTGAGGCCGACGGTGGGTCACAGCGTGAGGACCTCGCTGACAGTCTCTCTCGTGAAAAAAAGTAAATAAACTCATCTTTTTGAGAGAGAGAAATTTTCGCTATTGGGCATGTGCTTACCAGAGAACAGAGAGAAGCAGAGAAAGTAAGAAACCACACACACACACACACACACACACACACACACACACCCCGGGAGGATGGCTACACTGCAATACCTTTTCCTCCATTCCCCTCTCAGGATTTTGGGCATGCACACACATATACCTGGCATGAGTTCCAAGCCCCCAGGCCTGAGACTTGAACCATGGTCAGCCATGTGCGAGTCCAGTGCCTTAACTACCACACCACCTGCTGGCCCCACCTTGGGACTTTTTATTTTTAAGATTTTATTTAACTTTATTTATTTATTTAAATTTGACAAGAGAGAGAGAGAGAGAAGGCAAGCTGCCAGGTCCAGGACTTGAACCACGGTCAGCCATGTGGGAGTCCAGCGCCCTTAACCACCACACCACCTTGGGACTTTTTAAAAAGACATCTTTCCTCCTCAGGCACGCTCGCTCTCTCTTTCACGTGCACACTCACGCGTCTGGGTGTTTTAAGGATAAAGAGCCCGCTTGTAAAGGAGGGAGCCCTTCTGCCACAGTGTCCGTAAACAGACACATTTGAAGCTGCTGTAGCAAAAGCAGTGCCACCGAGTAGCCGGACATTCGCGTAAAAGATGACACCGTCCCTTCATAGGCCCCAGCAGTCCCCGGGTCTCATTTTCTTCTCTTCGATGCGGAGAAAGTGAAAGCTGAGCAGAGAGCTTGGAATTATGAACGGGGTTGGACAGGACGGGTGATATTTTCTTTTTCTCACTGCCTTTATTGAAATTATCTTTAATAAGTATCTATTACTCTTTCTAAATGTCTTTTTTTTCTGGAGAAAGCTCATTGAAAAACTGAAACATAAACATACTTCCTTTTACAGTAGGAGAAATTGTTTCTTGCAAAATCAGGCCAAAAGAAGTGTGCGGGTGTCCGGCCAGCTGATGGAGCGCTGGTTGAGTGCTGCCACATGACCAATGGCAGTTTGAGTCCTGGACCCGGCAGCTTGAAAAACACTCTGGGCGTGCGTGTACGTGCCCAGAATCCTGAGAGGAGAATGGGGAAGGGATTGTGGCATGGCCGTCCCCCCGGAGGGTGATTTCTCTCTGTCTCCTTCTGTCTGTCCAGCAAGCACACACGCCCTATAGCAAAAATATCTCTCTCAAAAAAAAGTGTGTGGATGTCAACTCGTGTCCCATGGCCCAGAATTGCTCTCCTTCTATGCTCTAGAAACTTCATAAACACCATCTCCAGCCCTTGCAGTCCAGCGCACAGGTTCGATGATTGTTCCCATTTCACAGATGAGGAAAGTCCAGCCGCTCGCCTGCAGGTGACCAAGGCCCAGCCGACATGAAAAGCCTTGCCCTCAACTGCACCCACAGGGAGGGGCGATGGGGCACAGCGTTGACCATCTCCTCTGCCCATCCCTACAGCCTCGATGTACTCAGAGATCCAGAGGGAGCGGGCGGACATCGGGGGCCTGATGGCCCGGCCAGAGTACAGAGAGTGGAACCCCGAGCTCATCAAGCCCAAGAAGCTCCTGAACCCGGTGAAGGCCTCCCGGAGCCACCAGGAGATGCACCGGGAGCTGCTCATGAACCACAGAAGGTGGGAGAGCCTGCCGCCTGGGCTGGGGCGTGCCCCTTGTGGACAGTAGACCTAGAGCACCGTGGGGTCCCCTACAGAAATTGTGAAGGTCTAGTTCCTGTTGGGCCCCTGGGGACCAGAGGGTCCCAGAGAGCCCCGGGGGGCTGGGACCACAGAGGAGGAAAGTGGCAGGGGTCTGAGTCAAGCTCTCTGAGCAGGTGACGCCTGTGGCCTGAAGCGGGAATAGGAGTCAGCCAGGCTAGGAGTGGGGGTGGCATAGGAAGCTGCGTGAGCAAATAGCCGGGAAACAGTGGCTCCATGTGGCTGGGGCATCGAGCATGAGGTGCAGGCCCCGGGAGAAGCATGGACGCGGAAGGGTCTAAAGCAGAAGGCCACATGGTCTGATCAGTGCATCGGACAGGTCCCTCCGGCTGGGGGTGTGGGAGGCGAGGACCGCTCGATGTTGTGAGAAGCACAAATGTTGCAGAGGCCCGGGATGTTGGTTCCTTGGCGGTGCCATGGCAGAGTCGGGCTGGAGGGGCATTGGAGGTGGCAGGGCTGGACTCCACAGCTGATGGGATGTGAAGTGGGACAGGATGGCTGAGGCTGCTTCTGCGGTCTGGAAATATCTCCCCAGCTCACCAGTGCTAGGATGAAGACGGCCGCCTTCGCCGCTCCCTCTGCTGGCTAGTTCTGGTATTAGCACCGGCTGGGACCAGCGATGGCCGCTATTCATTTGTACCCTGGGGTTTTTTAATTTTTTTTTATTTTTTAATTTTTGCCTTCACCTAGTACAACACAAGCATTTGTTCTGACTGCCTTTTAGAATCATCCCTTTTCATATGTGTGTGTATATATATATATACACACACATACATACATACACACACACACATACACACACAATAAAAAGCAAAAACTTAAAGACAAATGGGGGAAATATTTCCAATGTAAATAAATTAAATTGAAAAATGTATATATAGAGAAAAAATGTAAATATTCAGATCTCTTAAAAATTCACAGAAAAAATCTGAATGAAAAATAGGTGAAGTTAATTTGCAAAAGAAGAAACCCAAATGTTTGTCCCAAGTGATGAAACATCAAAGAAACAAGTGAAAACCAGATGGTTCGTCTTGCCTCCCAAATTCTCATATGAAAAGGACGGCTGGTGACTTTGGGAGAGAGAAATGCCCTCAAACACTGTTGACAGAAAAAAAGAGCAAATGACCTTTCCAAAGGTCAGAGGGACATATGTGCCCCACACCTTCAAAAGAGCACGCCCCGCAATTCCACCTTTAGAAACTTATCCTACAAAAATAACCAGAATTGGGCCCAATGGGAGGCATGATGTTTGAGGTGCATGGCCGACCATGGTTCTAGTCCCAGACCTGGCAGTTTGCTTTCTCGCTTTCCCTCTCTCTATCTCTGTCTCTCTCTGGTGAGTACATGTGTCCTACAGCAAATTAAAAATTATTATAATTAAACATAAACAATTTTCAAAATTAAAAAATAATGATAACCAGAAATAACATAAAACCTGCTCTCTGCAGTCAAACAGGTCTGGGTTCAAATCCTGGCCTGGCCTATTTGTGACCCAGACCTGACTGGTGTCCTGGTCCTGCCCTGGCAGCCTCATTTCCCTTCTCTGTAAAATGGGTCAGTAAACGGTTCCTCCTCACAGAGCTGCCAGAAGGAACGCAGGAGGAGACAGTGGGGTCGTTGTGAGGTGCAGCTCTGAGACCTGGGAGGCCCGAAGGGGGTGGAGGCAGGAAGGGCGTGGGGGTGATCCTCCTGACTGTCCTCCCACTCCAGGGGCCTGGGCGTGGACAGCAAGCCTGAGCTGCAGCGTGTCCTGGAGCACCGCCGGAGGAACCAGCTCATCAAGAAGAAGAAGGAGGAGCTGGAGGCCAAGCGGCTGCAGTGCCCTTTCGAGCAGGAGCTGCTGAGACGGCAACAGAGGCTGAACCAGGTAGGTGAGGGCGCCAGCCCCCGCCAGCTTCCTCCAGGGCTGTCTCCTGACCCAGGGAGGAGGGCGGGCAGAGCCTTGGACCGGGCGTCCTCGCTTTGCCACTCCCTTCGCTGTGTGGCGTTGGCCAAGCGCTTTCGGATCTGCCCAGTGCCCCGCAGGCTGGTTCTCATTTCACTCTCTGCTGTCCTTGAGGCTGAGCAGGGACGGTCCCATTTCACAAGTGGGGATCCGAGGCCTGAGTGAGGTCAGGGATTTGAACCAGGCTTTAAGGAGAACTGTCCCATGCTGGGCCCTTCCAGCCAGCAGGTGGCAAACCTGACACCAGGTTCTGTTTCTCCACGGAGCCCACCATTGACTGTGGCCCCATGGGTTTGAGACTAGGAGCCCCAGCCTGCCCACGTCACCCCCTGCTTGGCTGTCCTCCAGCTGGAGAGCCCGCCGGAGAAGGAAGAGGAGCACGCCCCCGAGTTCATCAAGGTCCGGGAGAACCTGCGGAGGATCGCGGCGCTGGCGCCCAGCGAGGAGCGGGCACTGTAAGGAGCGGGCCACGCCTGCCGGGCCCGACAGCCTCCAGCGCTTCAGTGCGACCGCCATGTGCACACCTGCTCCCCCGAAATGTGACCCCCAGAGGCCCTGGCTGTCCCTGAGAAGCAGGGCCCCTAACCCCCGAGGCCATTCTTCTAAGCACCCACCCTTCCTGCTCGGTGAGGAAGCCACTGCTGGGAGCCCTTTGCCAAGGCCCCTCCTGGTGGAGATTCAGCCCTGCAGGTTTTCCTGGCAGAACTGAAAAGGAGGGAGGGGTGCCCGCCGGCCTGACCGGCCCTCCATTTTCCCAGGAGGCTCCGAGGCCCCAGGGCGCCCTGCTTCTCAAAGCATCCCTGTTCCCAGGCCTGGGAACCTCCACCACTACCTGCATCCAGGTGTGGACAGCTGACAGCCAGTGCCCGATGGGGAGGGGTTCAGGAGAGCTGCGAGGAAAGGGAGGCGGCAGGGGCCAGGTGGGAAGGGTACAGCGGAGATGGTGTCTCAGGATTTCCCAGCCCCCATCTCCCTCACCCATGCTTTCAATTTCTCGGATCAGCACCCTCCCCGACGTCCCTGGGGCCCCTGGCTCACCAGGCCTCAGCCTCCCTGCTCCCAGGAGTCTGGAACAGCTCCTCAGTCAAGCTCGGGGGTCCCCAGGGCCTCCTTGAAGTAAGCTGGTGATTTGGGGGCTGGGCTGGGGCTGTGGCCGCATTGCTGACAAGCTCGCAGGTGAGGCTGCGGCTGCTGGTTTGAGGGCCCCGCGGGGCAGGAGCACGCAGGGGTGTAGTGTTGGAAATATCTCTGAAGCCATCTTGCTCCCCTACCCTCCAGCTCCCATGGCCTCTGCTTTGGGAGATTCCTGCCCACAAACACCCCCTGCCCCCCTCCACCTCTGCACCCAATGCACCCTGGCACTCTGCATGCATCCCTCACTGCTCCTCCAGGGACTCTAGACCGCGTAGACTCTGGCCTAGCAAATGGAGTCGGCTGTGTGAGTGTGGTTTTTAACAGAGCTGTACATCATTGCCAATCCGCATTTCTTACCAGTGTGAGCACACGGTGAGGATGCAATTCTAGCCAAAAGAAAAAAAAAAAAACAACTTTTTCTACCTTTTCCTACAGCCTTATGGAAAGCTCACCTGCAGTGGTTTCCAGTATATTTCCGGAAATGCAAATGGTGGCTGGAAGACCCTACTGCCACCGGCCCCTCTGGGTCAGCATTTCCTGTCTGTCACCTGAGTCCTGCCCCGCCTGGGCCAACTCCAACAAGTTTGCCCATTCTTCCTCAAATACCTCCTCCCATTCGAGACCCAAACTCTGTAAGCTTTTGCTCCTAGTCCATTTTTAAAGATTCAGAGAATAACCAGGCTGGTCTCTTTTCCCCGAAAAAGTAAAACCCCTGCCTCTGGCTTCGTAAACCCACCTTTAAGGAGATGGACCAGCGCTGGAAAAGCATCTGTCACTCCCCAGAAGAGCCAGAAAGCTTCTGCCGGCATCAGAAAGGAGGAAAGGACCGTGCTGGTCTTCCTCCTAACAGGGCCCTAGCGAATTAAAGACGCCCTTTTCCCATGAGAGGTGCCAGCACGGGGGTGTGAGTACAGGTATGTTGCATGTGTGTGCATGTGTGTGTGTAAGTTGGGCTTTGAATGGCTTCCTGTCTGCATGTGACTCACCCATGGGGGTCTGTATGTTATTCAGACATGTGAAGAGAAGAAAGACGGGTGTCCCCGGAGGAGCAGAACCCCTCAAGGTCATACAGGGGAGTCCCCAGGGCTGCTCCATGGTCATAGGCAGCAGGTTGTGGAGATAAAGCTTCAGAAACAGAGGGGACCTTGGGCCCCATATCATCCAGGGGACCCGTGACAGGCACCCTTGGTTCATGCTTCAGTGGTTAATCTCAACTCCTCTCTAGCCACTTCCCACTGCAGAGGCTATAAATCCAGATTCTCATTGTTCCAGCCCCCTTTGTGGCTTGTGTTGACCATGTGACCAGGTATGGCCAATGAAACTAAAGGGGACGTTTACAAGGGCTTCTAGGAAAACTTATTCTTTTCTAATAAAAAGCATCAGGCATGGCTAACACCTCCTTGGCCCTCCTCCTTCCTGCCTTGATTGAGGATGCAGTGCCTGGAGTCATAGCAGCCATCTTGCTACCATGAGACAAAGGCCAAGAGAATCACAGAGACATTAACCCAACCATCATCTGACCAAGCCAATGCCAGCAGCCATCCTCCTCCAGAATTGTTGTAAATAAAAATAAACCCCCTTTGTTTAAGCCATTGTTGGTAAGTCTCTGTTATTTGCAACCAAAAGCACTCCTAACCATCACAGAGAGCCTGCCCTGCCTGCCCAGAATTACCAGCAGGCTGTGCTAAAAATCCAGATTCCTCTTTCCCATCAGAAGCCTGTTGGGTCGGGATCCCCAGAGACAGTGCCTGGGATCTGGGTGACTGCGTTACCACATTCTTCCCCATACAGCCCACCTGGCACGACTCTGAGAGCTGACACTTGGGCATCACTAATTCCCTCGTCAGCCAACTCATATGTGAGGGTGTTTCTAACAGGTCTGGATGCCACGGTCCATCTCCAGCTTCAGCCAGCCTCAGACCACAGGTACGCATGTGCCCAGTGAACTCAGGGAGGTCTCTGGATGTGAACCTGGACCCCTCCAGTGTGGAAGCATTGTGCTTTACCACTGTGCCGCCATCTGCCCCAACAAATATCTGCTGAGTGCTTACTCTGTACCAGGAAGCAGCCTGTGCTGGGCACGTGGCGGAAACAAAGCAGGAGAAGGGCCTCCCCTCTGCGTGGGATACTGCAGTGGCCTCCTGCTACCGCCCGTGCTCTGCAGCCCGTTCTCAGCAGAGAACAGGAGGGTCTTCTCACAAGGCAGCTCTGGCTGCCCCACACGGAGCCCTCTGCTGGCTCCCACGGAGTCCTTCCTGCAGTCTGGAGGGCCCTGTGTGTGTCCGGCTCCCTCCTCACCTCTCCCTCCTCCCTCCACGCTCCTACTCGCTCACGCAGCTCCGGCCAGCCTGCCTCGCACTGTCGGGGCGTGCCCCCCTCACCTTTTCACCTGCTATATTCCTCAGCTCGGAGTATTCTTTCTCCAGAGCCCCTGGCCACCCCCTCGTGCTTTCTTAAATAGAGATTTTTGCTATAGGGCTCGTGCGTTCACTGGAGAGACAGAAAGAGACAAAGTGAAAAAAATCACCCCCGGGGGGGGGATGGCCACACCACAATCCCTTCTCCTCCATTCGCCTCTCGGAATCTTGGGCACACACACACACACACACAAGCCTGCCATGAGTTTCAAGCCACCAGGTACAGGACTCAAACCATGGTCAACCACGGGGGAGTCCAGTGACGTAACCACTATGCTGTCTGTGGTCCCCATCCCCTCACTTTCTTCCAGCCTTTTTCGGTGCTCCTACCCAAGGCCTCGCTCGGCCCCTCCACCTGAATTCTCACGTCCACACACTCCTCGCTCTGTCTTCCCTGCCTCGTTTTCCCTCCTTACCATCGTCACCGTTGAACATGTGCTTTTCGCTCACGTTTGTGTCTCTCGTAATAACGTCAGCTCCAGGAGGGCGCAGATCTGGCCTGTTTATTGCTGAACCCCCTCGGGCACGGGACTCATAGACGGTGCTCGGTAAATGTTTGTTGAGGGAATGAAGAAGAAGCCCCCTCTGCTGGGACACACCCAGCTTCCTCCCAGGTTTAGCCCGTAGCAAGCAGAGACGGGCCCACTTGCCTCCTTCCGCCCTGGTTTCCATCCTGACCCAGAGACGTCTGTTCGGCCCAGCGACCCTCTGGCCTCTTGGTTTCCGTCAATATGCTAACACTGCACTTGCAGGACCCGCTCTGGAGCTGCAAGGCTCCCACATACCAGAGGGGTGTCAGAGTCAGGTCGGCCCTGCAAGGTCGGAGGCCTGGAGACCCTGGAGCAGGAACCGCTGCTTGGAGTCTGACGTCCGACTCCGACCTACACGGAGACAGCTGTTCTTGCTGAAGTTGTGCTCTCCCAGCACCAGACCACGAACCCTGGCCTGGGTCTGGAGAACCCCCTTGTCACTGTCAGACTAAACACTGAACCCAGGGGAGAAGGCAGACCCGCCAGGGTGCAGGGGGGTAGAGGGGCTCCCTCCCTGGCTCTGTACTAGGGGAGTGGTGGGAAAAAAGCAGGTGAAGCGTGTGCACCAGGGAGACCTCAGTACCCAGAGGCAGTTGCAGGGCAGCCTCGTCACATTTGAGACTACCCTAACTCCCAGCCCCTGACAGGTTCGACTCCCCTCTCCCTCCAGGGCCAACCCCAGCCTGAGGCCCGGAAACAGTTAGACATTTGGAAAACTTGTGAATAGATGCCAGTGATGGTCACTGCACTTCCAGAGGGCCAGCCATGTCACCACCCATGACAGTCAGGTGTCATCCTCCCCACTCTGCAGATGATGAAACCAAGGCTCAGGTACATTGAGGAACTTTCCAGAAGACACAAAGCAATGCCCCAGGAGAGGTGGGAATCACACCCAGAGCCATCTGTCTACAAAGTCCACGTTCTCACCATAGCCAGGCCTTGCTCCCAGAAAGGACTCATAGGAGGCCCCTTGCCAGTCTGACCCCCTTCCTCTTCCATTGGTCCACATGAACTTGAGGGTTCAGCCTCTGCGTAGAAAGCCACATTCAACCTGAGTCCTGGGCTGAGAAATGTCTGCTGCTGTCCTGGACCCCCCAAAATCTAACCGCTCTCTGGGGCCAACCGACTGGCAGGACTCTACCATGATGGTGGGGCTCCTGCCCCTCACAGGATTGGCCCTATGGCGGAGTAGCCCAAGTAGTGCGACCCCCACTGTCCTGCTGCTCCTCGGGCCTCACCATAGTCCCCACCGCCGGCACTCACGAGAACAGACCCCCGAGCCTCGGTGCTATTGCCTGGACCTCGCGGTCAGGTGTGCCGGTCTGCCATAACAGACTACCATAGACCGGGGGCCTGCGCAAACAGAAATCAGTGTTGTCATAATCTGGCGTCCGGAAGCCTAAGATCAAAGTGCCGTCGTGGCCTGCTTCGGTCTCTCTCCCGCTTGCGGGCTGCACCTTCTCACGGGGTCCATGCCTGGGGGTGGGCGGAGAAGAGCCCGCTCCCTACTGTCCCCATTCTTAGAAGGGCACTGACCCCGTTCGTTGTGAAGGCCCCATCCTCGTGACGGCGGATAACCCTCAGCCCCTCCCAAAGGTGCCATCGCCAAATCCCCTCACGCTGTGGATGAGGGCATCGGCATTGTCATCCGGGGGAGTGGTGCGCAAGCGCTCAGTCCACGGCGTGGGATTCGGTGGGGTGGTGGCTGGCACCATTCAGAGAGGACGCGGGCTGGGCTCGTGTCCCAAAGGCAGCTCTCACATGAAGTCACTCAGCTGCTTTCCAGAAAGGACTTCACGGAGAGATGAGCAGGACGCCCAGCGAGGACTGGCAGGGCTCCGGGGAAGCCTGGCAACAGCTAAGCTAGCCAGGCTCCCCACTCCATGGAAGGGCTTCCCACGGAGCCGGGGCACCTCAGTTCATGCTTCTCGATCCCTGACCTAAAATGCTCGTTCCCTCTGCACGCCAGCCTTGGGCTTGCCCTGGAAGGAGAGAAAGCAACAAGGACAGACGCCCTCTGCTGGCCGCAGCCGGGCTGGCAATGGAGGCCAGGGGAGGGGGAGGGTCTTGAACAACAGAAATCAATGTTGTAATCCTGGTGTCCCAAAGCCCAAGACCAAAATGTCATTGTGACCTGCCAACAGCACTCATGCATGTCCTTCTAGCCTTCTGCCCCCAGGTGAAGTTGCCAGTGTAAGTTCCAAACATTGGCCAACAGCCTGGAGCATCTGTAAAGATAAGAGTGTTGGCTCAATGTTCCAAGTTCAAGGGTGATCACAGGCGAAAGAATGGTTTTGACATGGGGAGATAAGGAAGACACAATTATTCCAGAACCCTAAGTGAGGGCCCATTACCATGATTGTAACAAGGAATCTCTGAGCCTCCCAGAAGCCAAGGTGAAAAGGGAAATCCAAATCCTTATCTAGAAAGAGGGGCAGAGGGTGGCACAGCCTTAAAGCGTGGTGTTCTATGAGGCAATCCTACATGGAGGGTTCTTGGACCACATCCAGAGACTTCCCTGAGTATACCTGGCTGAAGCGAGGGGGATCATGCTATCAGGACCCCATTAGAGAAGACTCTCTCTCTTCCATGGAAGAATAAACTTTGCGAATACAGAGAAGTGCAGAGTCAGAGAGAGCAGAGCAGAGCAACTCTGCTTCGTGGGTCAAGGGCGAGAACACCGAGCTGTATATAATCCTCTTGCCTCATCACCATCTTTTCCAACGTCAACAGGAGAGCTCACTGTGAACCCGTTTTCACATCGGTCTCCATTTTAAGATGGAAGCCACAGCCGAAAAACAGAAGCCAGAAAAATGCCAGAACATGGCTTCCAGTCCTGACCCGGCTCCCTACCAGCCGCAGTTTTAAGAAAAACCCTGCCTCAGTTTCCGGGTCTGTAAAATAGGCATGACCGGACTTCCTACGGTGGTTTTTAGTAGTAGATGAGATTCTTGAGCAATTTGCCAGAGGTCTGGCAAGGTAGGGAGAACTCGACCAGCAGGAGCTGTTAGGTGAGGTCACCCCAGGTAGGCCTCTTTGATGTAAAAGTTATTTTCCAGCCGAAGGCAATTAAGAAGCAGCAAACATTAAAGCTCTCTCTAACCTCCCCCTTACCTGCCTAAAGCCAGGATATGAAGTCTCCTTCATGGGAGACAAGGCTATGTGCTTAGTCCACAGGCAGCGCCCGCCCGATCTGCAGACTCACCTCTGTCCATCAGCTCCCGCCCACGTGTTCCTTCCCCACGTCCGGCCTTCTCCAGCCCTCTTTCCTTCGTCCTGTCATGTCTTGTCTTTTTTATTTTATATTTTATTTTATTTTTTAGGTTGCTACAGAGCATGTGCGCTGGTGAGAGAGAGAGAGAGAGAGGAAAATGAGAAATCACCTCCCCAAGGGGGATAGCCACATTGCAATCCCCTCTCCTCCATTTTCTTCTCAGAACTTTGGGTGCACGCACACACCCCACCAGATCCAGGACTCTGACGCACAGTTGGCCATGTGCAATCCAGACTTTGTTTTTTTTGTTTTGTTTTTTTAAGAATTATTGTATTTATTTATTTATTTTATTTGACCAGAGAGAGGCAGCCATGACTTCGAGTTAGTTCTCCCCGAGGTTTCTCCCACATGATACGCACCGCACGTGTGAATCGGCTCTGGGGGCGCCAGGTGTGGGGCCGAGGTGCTGGCCTCCCACATGGCTGACCGGGGCTTGCGTCCTGGGCCCGGGCACTGACTTGCTTTCGCTCTCCCGCGAGCACATGGGTGAGCTACTTCTCTCTCGTCCATCCATCTCTCGTTACAGGGGTCTGTCCCAATCAAGAACTCATGATGTTAAGGGAAAACGACTTTTCCTGACCTGCGCTGTAATTAACACTCGTGCGTTTAGCAGAAAAGAGAAGCCTCTCCTTAGCACAAAATGCCAAGAGGAATCAGAGCTCAGAGATGCCCCAGCAGGGATAATCTGCTTTCAAAACAGATTTTAAAGGAAAAGGCAGGCCCTTTCCCCAGTGGCTCCGTGCTGCTCAGATTCCAGGTGGACTGCTCAGCTCGGGCCCTGCAGAGCAGGGGGTGAGGACAGAGATGTGAACCGTGCCTCATGGAGGGGTGCTGCTCCTTTTGTGACCTAGACCTGGATTCAGGCCCCAGCTCTGCCACTCACTGTTCATCACCGGCCTGGGCAACTTGCTGGACCTCATTTTCCAGCTCTGGGACGCAGGTAGTAAGCACTACCCGTGTCGAACACGCAGCGTCTGTGCCAGGGACCGCATGAGCCCTCCAGCGAGGGATCGCATTTACTAACGCTGTCGTCAGCCTGTTTTCGCCAAGCCGCGTCTGCGGGCCTCTCATCCTGGCCACACTTGCAGATGGAGGCTGCAGGAGGGTGTTTTGCAAAGCACTCACATGCAAGCGCTCCCGCCTGTGCCCAGAAACATTCCGCGTGGACACCGAGGCCAGCCTTCCTCCAGCCCTGCCAGCAGGAGTCCCTGCCAGTCTGACAGAGAAGGCCCTGGGACAAGAACCTCATCCTCATCCAGCTCAGGGCTTTTAAAAAGACAGTGGCCAGGACCAGCAGGTGGTGTGGTGGTTAAGGCAACTGGATCCCACATGGCCAACTGCGTGGTTCGAGTCCTGGACCCAGAGGCTTGAAAAACACACTGAGTGTGTGCATGTGTACTCAAATTCCTGAAAGGAGGGAGAGATGGAGAAGGGATTGCGATGTGACCGTGCCTCACAGAGGGTGCTGCTCACTTTCCTTCTCCACCTCTGTCTCTCCCAGGGGAGCACACGTGCCCCATAGCAAATTAAAACAAAGAAGGGACAGTGGCCAATCGGGACATGTGAGCCCCTCTCCCTGCCCTCCCCCCAGGAAGCCTGAGCAAGGAGATTCAGCACAGATGGCTGTTAAGAGCTCAGGCTTAGAAAGTAGGATGGATTTCAGATTCAGAGGGAGGAGATCAGATCGTCTCTACCGCCTGCCAACTGGGTAACCCCGAACAAGTTTCTTAACATCTCTGAGTTCCTTGTCTGTCATATGAGAATTCCAACAGTACCAGCCTCATAGGTCATTGTGAGGACTGAGATAACAAATTATATATATATATATTTTGGAGAGGTTTTGCTATAAGGTGCGTGCACTCGCCATAAAAACAGAGAGAGACAGAAAGCGAGAAATCACACCCCAGGGGGGATGGCCATGCCACAATCCCCTCTCCTCCATTTTCGTCTTGGGATCTTGGGCACGCACACATATGCACCCAGCATGAGTTTAAGCCACCAGGTCCGGCACTTGAACCACGGTCGACTACATGGGAGTCCAATGACATAGCCATTCGCCAACTGCTGGTCCCTGAGCTAACAAATATGAAGTGTTTGGCAGGAGTCGGGACCATGGTCGGTGCTCTTTTGCTGAGGACAGAGTAACAGTAGCTAACTAGGAATTATTAGCATCTGTTCCTTCCCCAGGACTTGTACCCCACCCCCCATGGGTCTCACTGACCCAGTCCTTCCAGTCCTATTTCCATGCAATAGTAAGTACTTAGTAACAACTACTTTAAATGTAAATGGATTAAATTCTTCATTGAGGCCCAGCTGCGGAATGCTCACTAGGAGACCCTGCCACTTGCAGGCTGAGGCCCTGTGGAAGGCCCAGGTTGATTTCTGGCCCACCCTAAAAGCTGGATATGGTGGTACGGGCCTGTAGCCCCAGCTACTTAGAAAGTGGAGGCAGAGTTCAAGGCCAGCCTGGGAAACCTAGGGAAACTGGGGATAAGGAGAAGGAAGAAAGATCCAACTATATCCTACCTGTAGCAGATTCAGCCCATCTTTAAAGATACACATAGACTTCTAGTAAAAACATGGGAGAGATAGTTCCTGCTCAGAGACACTGAAAGAGAGTAGCAGTAGCTATACTTATATCAAATAAAATAGACTCGTATGTGATATAAAAGGCTTTATCTTTCTAGAGTGTTTAAGTCAAAATTTTAGAGACAAAGTCATTATATAATGATAAAGAGTTTAACGCATCCAAAGGATATAACAATTATAAACATATACGTACTTAACATGAGAGCACCTAAAAATTTAAAGTAAGCATTAATAGATCTAAAGACATGGGCTGCAATATAATAACTGTCCTGGACTTCATATTATGTACCTTTTCCTTTGCTGATTTTTAAAACATTTTAGTTAGTTTTGCCAGAGGACTTGTGCACTTGCCAGAGAGAGGGAGAAAATAAGGAAGCACCGCCCACAGGGAATGATCACACCACAATCCCGTCTCCATTTCTCCCTCTTTATGAGAGTTTGGACACACACAAACAGGTACCCGGCATGATTTTCAAGCTGCCAAATCCAGGACTCAAAACATGCAGACAGCCATATGGGATCCAGCGGCCTTAACCACCATGCCATGAGCTGGCCCTCCTTTGCTGAATTTTTCTTTCTTTTTTTTTTTTTTTTTTTAGATTTTTGACATAAGGCATATGTGCTCACCAGAGACAGAGAAAATGAGAGGAACAGTGAAAATTCAGCCACCAGGGGGATGGCCATACTGCAATCCCTTCTCCTCCGTTTTCCTCTTAGGATTTGGGGCACGCATGCACACACGCCCAGCATGATTTTCAAGCCACCAGGTCCATGACTCGGCCACGTGGGAGTCCCACACTCTAACCACCATGCCACCCGCTGGACCCTCCTTTGCTGATTCTAGTCGGTATCATTTTGCTGTAAGAAACCATAACCACTGAAATAAGCCGTAGCAGTTTCTGAGTTCTGTCTTTCTCACAAATCATTGTACCTGAGGTTGATCTCGGGAGCCCTCAGACACCCAGATAAGCTCTGAAGAGTCACTGATAGTTTTGCAGCTGTGTGCATTCCTTGCTTTCATTATTGTACCATCCCAGCCTTGGGATAGGAGGCCTCAGGAGGATTGTGAGGCTCCTTAGAGTCGCCACATCTCAACGTTAAGATTAGATGAAGCGGGACCAGCAGTAGCCATAATGGCTATGTCGCTGGACTCCCATGTAGGCGACCACAGTTCGAATCCTGGACCCGCCAGCTTAAACTCACGCGTGCATGCCCAAGATCCCGAGAAGAAAATGGAGAAGAGATTGCGGCATGGCCATCTCCCCTGGAGGGTGATCTCTCACTTTCTGTCTCTCTGTCTCTCTTTCTCTTTCTGGCAAGCGCACGCGCCCTACAGCAAAAATCTCTCAAAAAAAATAAAAAGATTAGATGAAGCTGAGTGGAGCATACACAGGGTACACAAGAACTCTGTACTGTTATTGTTGGCACCTTTCTGAAAGTCAAAAGCTATTTCAAAATATAAAGTTAAAAACAAAGAACACGGGGCCATCAGGTAGCTTGCTAGTTGGAGCCCTGGACTCTTACATGGCTGACCACTGTTGGAGTCCTGGACCTGACGGCTTGCTCTCTCTGTCTCTCTCTCTCTGTCTCTCTCTTTCTCTCTGTCTCTCTGTCTCTCTCTGTTTCTCTCTCCAGTGCCCTATAGCTAATTTTTAAAATCATAAAAATAAAAGTAAATAAATAATTCTTTCCCTTTTTTTGAAAGATTTTTGCTATAGGTCACGTGCGCTCACCAGAGAGACAGAAAGCAAGAAATCACTGCCCGAAGGGATGGTCATGCCACAATCCCTTCTCCTCTGTTCTTTTCTCAGGATTTTGGGCACACACACATGTGTTCGGCATGAGTTTTAAATCACCAGGTCCAAGACTCGAACCACAGTTGACTATGTGGGAGTCAAGCAACATAACCATCTGCTGGTCCCAATAAATACTTCTTTTAAAAAAATGGACACAGCGGATGATAATTGCTAAAGCTGAGTTCCTCTTTTTCTTCTTTCCACTTTTGCACAGGATTGAAATGTTTTCTAACGTAAACTTCATTAAGCTGGAGAATTCAATCATTCGGCTCAACAAGTCAAAATGACCCAGAACATACAGAGCAGTAATCGCTCCCAAGTTGATGAAGAAACTGAAGTTCCAACGTTTTTTAAGCTGCATCAACTACATCAAAGAAAATTAAGCAACTGTCTGTGAACGAAGGTCAGACTGGAGGCCAGGACTTTCCCCTCCAGGCAATGGCATCAAAACCAACTCCCCCGTGGCCTCTCCCTAGTGTAGAAACTACCACCAGCAATGGGGCTGCCAGGAGTCCAGGCCCCATAGCCTCAGTGGGACCTGCTAGGGGGTAAGTCTCAAAGCTTGGGTCCCAGGCGGTGTGTCTTCCTGCAGGCACCAGCTAAACGCCAGCCTTGGGATAGGAGGCCTCGGGAGGATTGTGGGGCTCCTTAGTAAGCAAGTGTCCCTTACCAAGGCCCGGGCTGGCAGGAGCAGGGGGCTGAGGGAGTACAAGACTTGCCTGGAGTTGCCACATCTCCAAAGTCCTGCCAGGATGGAGCCCCAGTCTCCTGTTGGGCTGTGGTTCCTGACTTCTCGATCTGGTTCGATCTGTTTCTGTAACTATACCCTGCTCAGCCCCATGGAACGTTAACATCTTATGTAAACATGTACAGATACGTGTACAGATCCCGGAAGGTCGCACTCATCCGATGCTATCTAACCCTAACTCATCTTCAGAATGTGATCTGAGTGTGTCCGAGGGGTCCCAAGATCAACCACAGGTACAGCCCAACAAAGTGCTGAGAGCCCAGCCTTGTCCCGAGGCGCCTGGTTCAGATCCCAGCGATGCAATCTACTGATCGGGCCAACCTGGGCAGACAGCGTCGCCTCTGCCAGCCGGAGTGCAGAGGTGAGGGAGCCTGTCAGCACCCTCACCAGGGGAGGGCCCGACCCCTGCATTGCTCCACAGCATTTGTCCAAGGAGCGCGGGAGGGGCATCTGGGTGCCAAGGCTAAGTGTAAGCGGAGCCACATTTAGAGCAGGAACATGGAGGGAGCGGAAAACCTTTCCTTCGCCTTTCAGGCCACCTTTCACACAAGGAGCCTTGAGGGGAGCCTTCTCAGCTCAGGGCTAACAGCTGGCGTTCCTGAAGGTGTGCAGGTGTGCTGAGCTGTGTAGGTGTGCGAAGGTGCCAGTGGGAAGGGTCAGGAAAGATCCGGGGAGACAGTGAAGGCCAGGGTTTCAGTTTGGGAACCCAGCTGGGATTCACAGCTTGGGAGACACCTAGTCTCCAAGGAAACCCCAGCTTTGAGACATGAGTACTCCGTCCTCCCGGTAGTCCTCCAGGGAAGCCTCGCTGTACCCGCCTTGGGGAGCCTGGGAGGAAGGAGAGGCGCTGCCCAGCAGCCAGCTGCGAGCAGGAGCACGCCCAGCTGAGCCTGCCCCTCCGAGCCTGCCCCGCCAAGAACTCGCTCCTGCCCTTCCGGGGGAGGAGCAAGGGGCGGCCCTTGGCCTGCAGAGACAGACCTGCCGCCAAGGAGAGGCCCACACTGGACAGAGGTGAGTCAGGCCTGCCGCACAGAGGGCAGGGGAGGGTCGGGGGACCCCGGAGAGCAGGACGACCCATCAGAAAGCCGCTGCTGTGTTTCATGCACGCCTGCTCCCCAGGCCCCCTGCCGACCGCAGACCGCACGGAGGTCTCTGCCCTCTGGCAGGTCAGGATTAAGCAGGGGCACCGGCGAACCCTCAAACAGAGCACGTGCGTGCAGAGTCATCCTGTAGGGTAGGAGGTGACCAATGAAGACAGAGAGCATAGGGTTGAGTGGGGGAGACCGGGACGCTGGAAAAGGGCTGGGGGCCTTAAAGAGAGTGGGCTGTCCCTGAGAGGTGGGCCTCGCTGAGACAGGACACTGAGGTGAATGCAGGGAGCCGTGGTGGCATCTGGAGGAGTGTTCTGGGCAGAAGCTGGCAGGTGGGGAGGCCTGGAGTGTTCTGGAAGGGAAGAGGAGGAGTGGGAAAGAGGAGACAGGCCAGATGGCCTTGCAGGGAGCCAGGGGCAGGTGATGGGGGCTCCCCAGGTGCCCCAGCCCGCTCAGGAGCACGCCCACAGCCCCCAACATGGGCTCAGAAGCCCAGGGACAAACGCCTTGCTCCTCCAGGCTGGGCTTTGGGGCCTCCCTGTCTCCACCGTCCCAGCCCACATGTTTCCTATAAAGGGTGAGACAGAGGGGACCGAGAGCGGCAGGAAACCTGCTGCGGTGAGCTGGGAGCTGGGCTCCTGGGACCCTGGGGAAGCAGAGCCGCCTCAGGCAGTGCTCAGTGCCTTGGGGGAGGGACACCAAGTAAGCAAGAATTTGTCCCTAACTCTAATAGCCCCAGGGTGCCTTGGCCAGAGGGAATGGCACAGCAGAGGGTGGAAGGAGAGGCAGGAGGGCTGGGAGGGGCGGGGTCCCTGCAGGCCTGGCCCAGCCTCCGCTCCACACAGTGGCACTAGGGAGCTGATGCCAAGGGTCGCAGCCCACCAGGTCTCCGGGACCCCCACAGCAGGGCTATAATGAGGACAAAGCTTCCCACTCAGACTCCCTCGGACGCCTTGCCCCTGCATGTTAGTGGCCATGCCCACGACCTCCTCTTCACGGTCCCTCCCCTGCAGGGACCCCATCCCCATCCCGGACCTCCTCCCTCCTCTCACTCTCCTTCGACCCTTTCTCTGTGCTGATCCCGCTGACCAAGGCCCCCTCCCTGCTGTTCCAGTTGTGGGCCCAGCTAAGGCGCACTGGGTGAGCCTCGCTAAGATGACCATCACGTGTAGCCGTCCTGGCCGTCCGTGAGCCTCACCCAGGCCGTGGGCTAGCACAGGCTGTGTGAGCTCTCGGCTACCTCCCATGCACCTCTCCGGTGAAGAACGATGTGTCCAATCCCTGGATGGTGCCTGACTCACAGCCAGGGCCCCCAAGACAGTGGGGTGCAGGGGCCCTCAGAACTGGAGGGAGGGCTCTTTCCCCTTACCAGGTGGCCTCTGGCTGACACCCAGCCCCTCTGGCTGACACCCGGCCCAGCAGCTCTTGCTCACAGGCTCCGTGCACCTCAGAGGAGCCAGGCCTGCAGTGTCTCTCCTAGCTCCCAGGCAGACCCAGGTGGGATGGGCAGCCCAGTGCACCGAGCGTCCTTGGGGATCACCCGGAGTGGACACATGCACCCTGACATGGAGAGCGAGAGGTGTACGCGGTCCTTCGATGTGGAACGGCTCACCAACATCCTTGACAGAGGTGCCCAGAACACTGCGCTTCGGAGGGAAGTCGGTAAGAGGAGGCTGGAGAATGGAGCATCAACTTGGTGCCCACAAACTTTTCTTAGAAGAGTCCTTCAGGGGGGACCAGCAGTTAGCATGATGGCTATGTCGCTGAACTCCCATGTAGTCAACTGCAGTTCGAGTCCCGGACCCGGTGGCTTATACTCATGCCAGGTGCGTGTGCGTGCGTGCCCAAGACCCGAGAGGAGAATGGAGGAGAAGGGATTGCAGCGTGGCCATCCCCCCAGGGGGTGATTTCTCGCTTTCTGTCTCTCTGTCTCTCTCAGTCTCTCTGGCAAGCGCACGCGTCTTGTAGCAAAAACCTCTCAAAAAAAATTTTTTTAAAAAGAGTCCTTCAGGGGGCCAGCAGATGGCGTAGTGGTTAAAGCATTGGACTCCCACATGACTAAATACAGTTCGAGTCTCAGACCTGTAGGCTTGAAAATCATACCATACATGTGTGCCTGTATGCCCAATCCCAAGAAGAGAATGGAGAAGGGATTACAGTGTGGCTATCCTCCCTGAGGGTGTTTTCTCACTTTCCCTCTTTCTGTCTCTGTCTCTCTCTTGTCTCTTTCCAGAGAGCACGTATGTCCTATGGCAAAAATCTAAAAAATAAAAAACGTTAAAAATAAAAAAAGAAGAGCCCTTCATTAGCAGGCCCTCACAATTCCATTGTTAGAAATTCATTCCTGGGGACCAGCAGATGGCATAATGGTTATGTTGCTGGACTCCCACACAGTAGACCACAGTTCGAATCCTGACCCCAATACCTTGAAATTAGTGCCAGGCCCATGTACATGCATGCCCAAAATCCAAAGAGGAGAATGGAGGAGAAGGGATTACAGCATGGCCATCCCCCCTGGGGGCTGATTTCTCTCTTTCTGTCTCGCTGTCTCTCAGGTGAGCCTATCTGTCCTATAGCAAAAATCTCTCTCTAAAAAAGAAAAAAGAAAAAAAGAAAAAGAAATTCATTCCTTTGGGGGCTAGCAGACAGTTAGAGGTCACATTGCTGTACTCACATGACTGACCATGGCTCAAGTCCCGGACCCAGTGACTTGAAACTCATACCAGGTACATGTGAGTGTGTGCCCAAGATCCCAGGAGGAGAATGGAGACGGGATTGCAGTATGGTCATCCCCCATGGGCGGTGATTTCTCACTTTCCTTCTCAATGTCTCTGTCTCTCTCTCTGGTGAGCACATGTGCCCTAAGGCAAAATCCTCTTTTAAAAATTTTCCAAAAAGAAATTCATTCCTTTGGATCGTAAGGGCAACTATGAAGGCCCTTGTAACATGCCGGTATTTCCTTGTCCATCTGAAGGACTGGACAGTCCTGGTCAGCGGAAGACCTAGAGGCCAGTCCCCATTCTGCTGCTGTGTAGCTCGTAACTTTGGGCAGCTCACTGTCCCCGCCTCTGGGCCTCAGTTGCCTCATCTGTGAAATGGCAGTCATTTCTAACTTCCTCTCCAGGTTCATGGGTCAAGTGAGTGGGAAGAGTCGGAGGCACCAGAAACCTCACCCGGGTCTCTCAGGCCTCTGTTCTTTGTCCCCTGCAGAGAACATTGTCCACAGCGACCCAGAGCTGAGCTTAGAAGACAGTTACTTCATGTCCCAGAATGAATATTATGAGGCCTCCACGCGGAGGCGGTTCCGAGTCCTGAGGATAGCACAGCGCCTGGGTTGGCTGCACGACGGGCCGGAATTGGGCTACGTTTACAGGTGCTATGCCTGGGGTGGCCCCTAGAGAGGGCTCTGCTTGGGACCCCCTGGAAGCCCCATCCCCGCGGGCCATTTTGGGAAACCAGGGCCAGTGCCCCGCCCCTGCCCCTGCCCAGGCTGAGGGTACTGGGCCCTGTCTCTAACAGACTCCCGTAACCGCAGCCTCTCTCCCCCAGAGCCCTCGCGGGACAGCTGACCTTAAACTTGCAGGCTGTGTTCCTGGTGTCCCTGGAGAGCCTGGGCTCAGAAGAGCAGATTGCCACGTGGGGCCCCCTCTCCAAAACGTACCAGATCATCGCGACGTACGCCCAGACGGAGCTGGGACACGGTGAGCCCGGGCTGCGCGCTCAGTCCAGGCTGTGCACTGCACAAATCCGGAGGGCCCTGCCACCCCTCAGTAGTCCCCGATTTGCATATTTAATATGCAGACGTCCCAGCAGATGGCAGCCAAGGGCGTTGAGAGAGCGCCTTCCTGTCACTCGCACAGACTGAGCTCAGGGCGGGCGGCGCTTTGTTCTGCCTGGGAACGTTAGCATCCTCGGCATGGACGGAAGGGCTGTGTCCCCACAGCCCCGAGATGAAAAGGGAGAGTCGCTGTGGAGGACAGCTGGCAGCTGACCCCTGTCCCGCACTGGGCGGGTGCCTGAGAATTCCAGCCCCCCCGGAACCCACTCTGCAGGTAAGAAGTGTGATTGGCCCAAGGTCTGACGCCTTTCCTTCATCCCAAGGGACGTACCTTCAAGGCCTGGAGACTGAAGCCACCTATGACCCAGCCACCCAGGAGTTTGTGATACACAGCCCCACAATAACTGCCACCAAATGGTGGCCAGGGGACAGTGAGTACCCACCCGCCTTTCCCCTGTCTTCCCCGGGGGGGGGCAAAGTGGGAGGGTGGAGAAGCAGTGCCCTTGAGCTCCAGGCCGCTGAGCGTGGGCGAGGCCCTGCACCCGTCCAAGCTCGGGTCCTCACCTCGGTAAGCGGAGAGTAAGGGTCTCGTCAGTCATGGCGGGGTGGGGGCGGGAACCCGGAAGTGGGGAGACTGACCAGCCCTTGGACTGCATGGGACAAGTCCTCACACACACACCCTACTCCCACCCAGACACATACGTGTGCATATACACAGCACAGGCACACACACCGCTCCCACTCAGGTACACGTGTGCATGTACACAGCACAGGCACACACACCACTCCCACTCAGGTACACGTGTGCATGTACACACCACAGGCACACACACCGCTCCCACTCAGGCACACGTGTGCATGTACACAGCACAGGCACACATACTGCTCCCACTCAGGTACACGTGTGCATGTACACACCACAGGCACACACACCACTCTCACCCAGACACATACGTGTGCATGTACACAGCACAGGCACACACACCGCTCTCACCCAGACACATACGTGTGCATGTACACAGCACGGGCACACACACCACTCCCGCTCAGGTACATGTGTGCATGTACACAGCACGGGCACACACACCACTCCCGCTCAGGTACATGTGTGCATGTACACAGCACGGGCACACACACCACTCCCGCTCAGGTACATGTGTGCATGTACACAGCACGGGCACACACACCACTCCCGCTCAGGTACATGTGTGCATGTACACAGCACGGGCACACACACCACTCCCGCTCAGGTACACGTGTGCATGTACTCAGCACAGGCACACATGACTCCCACACAGATACACACAGATACACACATGTGTACACAGCACACACACACACAGCTCCCACCCATACATGTATATGCACACAGCACGTGCACACACAGCTCCCACATAGACACACATGTGTGTGTACACAGCACATACACACACACAGCTTCCACCCAGACATACGTGTGTATACTACACATGCACACACACAACTCCCACCCAGACACACACACATGCATGTGTACACAGCATATGCACGGCTCTCTCTCTCAGAAACACATAGGTGTGTACACAGCACATACACACACAGCTCCCACACATACACATGTGTACACATAGCAACATAGGCACGCATGGCTCACACATGTGTGTGCACATGACACGTGCACACAACATGCCCACCTAGACACACATGTCCACAACACATGTACAACTGCACACACATGTGGCCTAGTCCAGGCACTCCCCCAGACCCAAGTCCTCTCATCTCCCGAGGTGACGAATGAGCTCGCCCCAGCCAGGGCGCAGGCCCCGTGACAGGCCGTTAGTGATGAACAGGCCTCCAGCAACTCTGAACCGGGAGGGCTCTGGGCCCATAGAGCCAGTCCGGCCCGGAGGCCGGTCCTCCACTGAGGCCACTTGGGGGCAGCTCAGCCATTTGCCAAGCGCAGGGAGAGGGCCCCTCCCACCCCACCCTTCCTTGGACCTGGGGACTCACAGGTTTGGATGTATCTGCATTTGTGGGCCTAGTCAGTGGCTGCTGTGCAGGAAAAAGAGAGAACAACCGTAGCAGGAGGGTGACAGAGATGTGAGTGAGGCGGGAGAGAAAACGAATGGCCACGTCACAATGGCACAGGAAAGAAACCAGCCTTGGAGATCGGACAGACCAGGGTTCCAGTCCCAGCTCTGGCTCCTGCAGGCCCCGTGACCTTCACTGTGTCACTCCACTCTGAGCCTCAGTTTCCTTATCCGGAAACTGGGACTCGGCACACCTGCCCTTCTAAAACCAGAAAGCATCGGACAGGGTCCGGCATGCTCTGGTTTTTAACAAACGGTAATTATCTGTACTCCCTGTTGGGAGGCTGATGACAGAGGGGTTCAGTAATAGTTTCTGGGGGCAAAACAAATCTTTTCAAAGCTTGCTCATTCCGCAGTGCGATGGCCAAGTCAGCCAGGTTTCTCTGGCCCATATGAGGGCCATCACCCCTGTGATCAGTGAGCTTTCAAGGCCCCAAGGCCTGCCCCAGGAGGTTGAGTTGGGGACAGCAGTGCACGGGTCTTCCTGAGACGGCCTCTCGTTCTCTGTCCTCAGTGGGGCGGTCGGCTACCCACGCCCTGGTCCAAGCCCAGCTGATCTGCTCGGGAGCCCGGAGGGGAATGCATGCCTTCATCGTGCCCATCCGAAGCCTCCAGGACCACACCCCCCTGCCAGGTGAGCCCAGGGCCTCGGCCAGAAGGAGACACCACAGGCCTCCCTGCCCTGGGGCCCAGAGTTCATGAGAGAAGCAGGGAGGGGTCTGGTGGGCAGACCTGGTGCCAACCGGCTGGTGACCCTGGGCAGGCAGCACCCTTTGGCCTTGGTTTGCTCCCTGAAAACAAGTGAGCTGGAACATGGTGGGGTGGGGTGGGGGCGGTCGCCTGGCACAAGCGAGCACTTGAGCAAAGGGCATTTTGTTCTCATCTCCTAGGAGTCACCGTTGGAGACATCGGGCCCAAGATGGACTTTGAGCACTCGGATAATGGCTTCCTGAGACTGGACCATGTGAGGGTGCCCAGGGAGAACATGCTCAGTCGCTTTGCACAGGTGGGGGCCAAGGGAACTGTGGACCAGAGCTCTGCTCACAGAGTCCCTCTTCATAGAGCCGAGGGGCCCTGGTGTCCCACAGACCAGGGCAGAACCCCGCCTAGCGGCGTTGTGACCCTGAGCGCATTGCTCATCCCAGCCTCAGACTTGCCGTGTGTGAATGGTCGTCATGTGGGGGTGGCGAGGTGATCCCAGGGGAAGGCCGTGGCCGTGGCCATAAGAGTGACCTTACCTACTGCAAGGCCTAGCCACACTGATCACGACCAGGTGCCTGCAGAGAGCCGGCAGAGGTTCTGGAGGGCTCGTTTTGCCAGGTGTTACCCCTCTAGTTGTAGCTTTTAGGGGGAACTGGGGTGTCCCAGGAGAGGGGCTGTGAGCCAGGGCACTTGGGGAAGTGGCTAGTTAGCCCCGGGCTCAGGAGTGTTGTTTTGTCTTTATTTTTGTTTTTGCAATGGGGTGCATGCACTCACTGGACAGAGAGAGAGAAAGAGAGAGAAAGAGAGAAAGAGAGAAAGAGAGGAGGAAGTGAGAAAGCAATCCCAGGGGGATTGTCACTGCAATCCTATCTCCTCCATTCTCTCAGGACTTGGGGTGTGCACACACCTGGTGGGTTTTTTTGGTTTTTTTTTTGTTTTTTGGAGGTTTTTGCTATAGGGCGCATGCCCTCACCAGAAAGAAAGAGCAAGACAGAGAGACAGAAAGTGAGAAATCCCCCCCCAGGGAGGATGGCCACACTGCAATCCCTTCTCTTCCATTCTCCTCTCGGGATCTTGGGCACGCACGCACATGCACCTGGCGTGAGTTTAAATCACTGGGTCCAGGACTTGAACCACAGTCAGCTACATGAGAGTCCAGCGACATAGCCATTACACCAACTGCTGGTCCCCCTGGTTTGAGTTTTTTTAAGTCACCAGATCCAGGACTCGAATCGTGCAGTTGGCCACGTGGGATCCAGTCGCCTTAACCACTACACCAGGGGCTGGCCCCAGTGTTCAGTATCTTAACACTCAGCGTGGCCGCCCGACCCACCGCCAGCCAGCCACCTGCTGTCCGGCCCAGTTGAGCGGGTGGAGAAGCAGGGTGCCCACTGCTGTGGGAGCCTGCAGTTCGGGGTGGGGCAGGTTGGGGGCCTTGGCTCAGACCCAGTGCCTGTCCTTGTTCCATGCAGGTCTTGCCAGACGGCTCCTACGTCAAGCTCGGGATCCCACAGAGCAACTATCTGGCCATGGTGGTAACGCGGGTGCGCCTGCTGCTGACCGAGGTCCTGCCCCTGCTGCAGAAGGCCTGCGTCATCGCCGTGCGCTACTCAGTCATACGCCGCCAGTCCCGGCTCCGGCCCAGGCAAGGGGGGCCAAAGGCTGATGTGGCAGAGCCTCCCTGACACCACCCCTCGGCAGGACCTGGGTGCCAAGAGCAGGCATTTCCCCACTCCATGAGCATAGGCACACACGGTCTGCCCAGACCTCGCCCATCTGGCCATGCCCTGATGTTTCTCTGACTCCCTCTACCCTGACTGACAAGCTATCCCACCTGGGGTCTGCCCAACTCTGTGATCCGGGCCCTGCACCCCAGATCCAACTCAGTCTGTCTGTGTGAGCACGACCGTGTCCCCACATCGTGACTGGCGGAGTGAGTCCAGGCCAGTCTGACCGTGGCTGGCTGAGTGTGTTCTGGGAGGTCGTGACTGTCAGGTTGGGCTGTGTGTGCTGGACTCACTCTTTCTGGCTGTGACTGTCACCTCTGACTGTGGTACGTCTACGTCAGGATGGCTCGTTACGCTTGGTTGTGTCTCACTTTTCTTTCTCCACTCCACGACCCAAGAGATCAAGGGCTGTCTGTGCTGCTTTGACCTGTACACACACAGCACACACACATGCACATGCACGTGCATGGGGTTTCCAAGTATAGTATAGCACGCCTGGTTAACTTTCAATTTCAGGTAAACAGCTCATATTTTTTAGAATAAATGTGTCACAGAGGGTCACACACCCAGAATGAAGCAACGTGGAGAGCTAAGAGGGACAGAGGGTCAGGTTGAACTTGGGGGACTGAGGAGCAGGCTTCTACCTGCAGTTCCCACCCCAGCTCTGCCGACTGACCCGTGATCAGTCCCACGCCCCCTCGGTTTCTCCCCTGTGAAGTGAAGAGGGCAATGACCAAGACACTTGGGAACCCTCAGCCCTGGGGTCTGGCATTGTTTCGGGGTATGGGTTCAGGGCTCCAGAATGAATCAGATGTGGGTGAGTCGAGGCTGACACCGGCAGACCTGTGCCCACCCAGCTTGGCCCCTTTGCTGCTCTGTCCCTCGGCGTCCTCATCCGCAAAACAGGCATGGCAGGAGTGCTGTTTCTGGGTGGTGTGGCGGCCAGGCCCTCGGCCCAGGCTCCTCTCCCCAGCAAACCCATGGTGCCCATGGCCAGCCTGGATTGTGTGTACATGCACATGTGTGTGTGCTTGCATGTACAGGCTGAAACAGACTGACGGCGTCCTGGGGACACGGGAGCTGGGGAGAAGGCGCCGTGGCCGACATCGGGCTGCAGCCCTCTGGCCTGAGTTGCAGAAGAGTCCCAAGAAGAGCGATAGGCAGCACATGTCTGGGAGACTCTGTGGCCCAGACAGCTATGGGGGGAACTCCTCACAGCCCACCCTCCACCCACACGTGGGCCCTACATGCTGGGCTGTCACCTCTCTGGGGTCCCATGGCCCTGACTTCACATCGCAAGAGTTGTTTAGGTCCACGCATCCCCAGAACTCAGTGCGCATGGGCAGTGAGAGGTCATGAGTTCAAAGCATCCGGGTGCACGGCCAGAAGCCTTCACGGGGGCCAGATGTGTTGGAATACAGACTTCCAGACTGTAGGGTAATGCGGTGTGTGTGCAGTACATGTGGTAACCTCTCTCCTGTCAGGTACCCCAAAACAAGCAGGAAATGTGTGGATTTTCATGTCATGGGATTTTCAGATTACTAAGGCCCCATGTCAGGGCAGGTCAATTTTTTTTTTTTTGAGAGATTTTTGCTATAGGGCGCATGCGCTCACCGGAGAGACAGAGAGAGACAGAGAGACAAAGTGATAAATCGCCCCCCAGAGGGGATGGCCACACTGCAATACCCTCTCTTCCATTCTCCTCTTGGGATCTTGGGCACACACGCACACACACCTGGCATGAGTTTAAGCCACTGGGTCCGGGACATGAACCGCCGTCAACTACATGGGAGTCCAGTGACATAGCCATTATGCCAACTGCTGGTCCCAGGTCAGGTCAAATATTGCACTGAGTTATAAAAGAACTCTCAGCTTTGGGGCCAGCCAGGTGACATGATGGTTAAGGTGCTGGATCCCACATGGCCATGCGGTGTGCCAAGATCCCCAAAGGAAAACAGAAGAGAAGGAATTACAGTGTATCCATACCGCTAGGGCAGAGTGATTTCTCACTTTCCCTTTCTCTGTCTCTCTCTCCAGTGAGCACACGCACCCTACAGCAAAAACAAAACAAACAAACACACACAAAAAACACCCACAGAATTTAACAAAA